CAATATATTTTAACCCTAAAATATCCTGAATCATTTTACAAAAGTAATTTATTCAATAAATAAATGGACAGAGACCACAACCCCCCCAATGTTAGACCTAAAGTTACGCCCTTGATCAAAACAACCTACGCGCGTCTAATCTCCTGTACAGCTAGTCAAAAAAGATACTCTTGGTAGCCTAATCTTGCTTTTATCCAGTTCATTTTATCTGTAAAAACAGTCATAGGGCGCTGGGCAGTTGGATGCACAAACAGACGAGGAAACAAACCAAACCTGTCATTTTATTGCAAACCTTTGGATGAGGACAGAGAATGGGGATGGATAGCAGCCATCAGCTGTCAGGGCGCAGCCTTTGGTGTATTCATGGATTTGCAGCAAACGGTTTTTACAAGGTAAGAAGATTAATGTTCATATACTTCATGATAGAGTTGGACAATATTCCAATACTGATATACACTGCCTGGCCAAAAAAAAAAGGTCACACTCTAATATTTTGTTGGACAAACTTTAGCTTTGATTACAGCACATGTTCACTGTGTCATTGTTTCCATAAGCTCCTGCAACATYACAAGATTTATCTCCATTCAGTGTTGCATTAATGTTTCACCAAGATCTTGCATTGATGATGGTAGAGTCTGACCTTCTCCAGCACATCCCAAAAAATCTCAATGGACTCTGTGGAGCAGCCAATCTGAAGGAATTTATTGGGGTGTTTACTGCTGACTTTTAAAAACACTACACATTGTATAGTCTTTTATTAGGTGAACAGTAACATATTTTTATAATGTGGTTATCTCTAACTTAATTGATGATATGTGCAGACTGAGTTGTGTGGGGCTCTTGAGCAGGGTCTGACAGACTCAGGAGGCTTTTAGTTAGATACATGTCTGACTAAAAAACAACACAAATAAGAACTGTGATGAACCATTAGGTTGAGGAGTGATGTGTGACATCCTGATTCCATTTAGAGACAGACTGCCCCTTTAATTTATGTCATGAGGTGGAGTCAGGATGTGAAGAAGGCTGTTATTTGATGTGTGTTTCCGGGGTTGTTTCTCGCTGCTTAGCTGATGCCTGTTGGAAGGCACATTAAAAGCTAGACAGTCCACAGCTGTGTCCGAATGGTTTTGTATGGCTCACTCAAACATTCACATGTCATTATTAACTGGTATTAGATCTGAACAGGTAAAGGGTAACGAACACTGCTTATTTTTCAACAAATCCATGTGTGAAAATGATGTCTCATGCTCCCTGAATCACTCTTTCACAATAAGAGCCCCATGAATCCTGGCATTGTCATCTTGGAATGTGTCCGTGCCATCAGGGAAGAAACAATCATTGATGGAATAACCTGGTCATTCAGTATATTCAGGTCAGCTGACCTCATTCTTTGAGCACAGACTGTTGCTGAACCTAGACCTGCCCAACTGCACCAACCCCACATCATAGACCTTAGTTAAATACAGGTGGACACTTTTTTTGACCAGGCAGTATATGTTAGGGTAGAAAATGTTTTGATATGACTTTTAAAGAAATTTGTTTGGTAGACGTTACACCAGTGCTCAGTGCTACTGTTCTATTTACACCATGCTACCTGCAACACAGCGCCAACACGTGCTCAACAGCTGTGAGTGAACAAACATCCACAGTTGAAAAAAAAGCAGATGAAATAGCTGATATGAAAGATCTATATCTATATTTTAGATCTATGAAGATCTAAAAATCTAAATTCCATGGCGTGGATGTGGTTCGGGTTTTAAAGGTTCATTATATRTCATTAAAATAGTTTTCAGTCTGCTGTAAAATGTGCCAATGAGCAGTGGAACCTCATCAAATCTGAAGAAGTTCTATTTGATAGAACTTTCTGAGTGTATGAAAATGAAGCGCCCAATTTGGGAAAACAATCGCAGTTCAATACCCCCCCACACCACACCACTTCCGACCTCTGACATCAGTGATAGAGCCTCCACATGATTAGTGACGTGGTTACAAAGGGTCAATATTAGTTTTTTTTTAATGTGCAGCTCAAAACACTTGTGAGGGAAGTTACAACTTTGACTTACAAAAAATAAAAATGAGCACATTAAGACCTGCAATACAAATAAATTAGCAAATTAGTGTTTCCTGTCATTGCAGAATACAGAAGTCTTCATGTAACTCTGCTATATCTGACAAAATCAAGTTTCTCCAGTCAGGCTTGATGCGTTAAATTAATTATAACAGCGCATCAACTCACTGTGGTTGAAAGAAACAGCAGCATATCAGAGGCTGACAGTATTGACTGGCTGCTATTAGATTTATAATTTACCGTCAACTCTCACTGACTGTTTTAGTGCAGGGCGTTTGTCTGAAGCTCACAAACACAAAACAGTAGTCGTGGAGCAGAGGCTAAAAACAAAAAATAA